TGAATGGCACATCAAATAAAAGTAAATCAATAAGGTTTTTTATACATGACATGTTTAGCCGCAAAATTTTATTGGATATGTTTGAAATCTAAGGATTTTAGAATACAATTCTGTGATTGATATGTCACGTTATCATCGAGGCTAAAATTTACTGTTAATTGGTGCACTTGAGGGTCGAAAGTTTCAAGTTCAATGTACACCCGACCTCCATCAGAACGGCTTTTAATAATTACGTAAAATACCATAACAGCATTACACAAAATTTATATCACAAGTCAGCTTAGAACATTATGTCACAAAGAAAGTTTGACATCACAATTGTAATGCTTTATCACCCATTTAAAAAAAATATATCATTCATATGTTACACATCCAAGACAATTTGTATCGTGTGACGGATGACTGTTCAAATTCAAACAATTGCATTTTTCGCGTTTTTTTCATTATATAATAAAATGGAACATGTTTACCTCAATAGTATACATTAATTAATTTCGTATAATTGCATGCGTGAATGTTTGACATCTATTTGTTTTTAAACTAGCCTATTTCTGAACATTTTAAGCCAGTTCAAGGGGAATTAGACACAGGTTACAACAACTAAGAATTTCTTCAAATAATTTGTAAATCACACGCAAATTTTAAATGACTGGCGTGAAGCAGTCTGGTACAACTATTTACTTGAATCTTTAGATGGTAAAGATAAAATCGAAAGGAAGTAAATGAATTTATTACGAGTGTTGGAACCAAAAAAAAAACAACTATATTCTAAATCATCACTTAAGAATGCTATTGCTAGTATCAGTTGACACCTCAGAAATGTCAAAAAAGATTGGAGCTACAACTTATGCAAAATAAACAACCCCAAAAGAAGTTTTAAAAGACAAATTAGTCACGGGAGAAATCGGTTGATTTTACTGCCAACATTCAGGACATGAAAAAAGTAAAAGTTGGTGATACTATTCTGAATTTAGATAATAACTCTTTGCCACTGTAAGGATGCCAAGAAAGCAAAACCGAATGTTTATTCTAATTTATATCCTGGCAACCTCATTTCCGGATTTTCATCAAAAGTACTTTCTCCTTTTCAATAATACAAAAAAGTAGAACCTCAGGCTACGGCCCGGGGCGCCGCCACTTTTCAAAATTAAATGGTATTTTAGATGGATAACGAAAAACAAGGCTAGGTGAAGCTAAACCATATGATACTTTAACTAATCAAGAAGTTAAATTAATATTGGATCACAATTTTTGCTCTCAAATAATCTAACTGGTTTACTTTATCGTGGATATGTTTACTTGGTTGTACTAGAGATGGTGAACAACATTATTTGCTCATTTCACGATTTGAGGATACAGAAGATGGTTTTATGCTAAAAAAGTATCAGATCAAGGTGGTATCGAAGGAAGACAGACATCTCGTGTTATTTTTAAAGAATTATTAATTGAAGTTGAATCGCCAAGAATTGATCTTGATGGTTCTAAAGTATGGATCAAAGTATCCATAGCAGCAAGATGTTATTTTTCATTTACTTCTTTATACGCACGAATACCTTGTATGCTTCTATGACCTGTTGTTCAATTTATTTGGAATTCGTGATCTTATAATATAATTATAATTCTTGCGAAATTATTCAAATTTAGTAACCCAATTTCGAGTTGATTTTTCAGTATTTGAAATACTTTGAGGAATAGAATCAACAGGTAAAGTAGAAATCGAAGCCTCGGAAACTTTTTAGGAAAGGAGCAAACTTGCATTAGTAAAATAGGTTGAAATGCTTGTTTGGTAAATTGTAATTTTTTATCGTAAGCAAAAAAAAGACTTTTATGTAAAATAAACTTTTTTCATCACGGGCGTTAGTCTCCGTGAAATAACCATTACATATTAATATGTTAACTTAAAAATAATAAAATAATAATAATAAAGATATAGAAGAATAACATTTCCTTCAAGCTTCCAATTACTTTTTATCTTTCTTTTTTAAATTGAAATTGGTTAATGTAATCAGTCTCCAACACAATTCTATCCCAAAACCTTTCCATGCAAATCTTGAAATTCATAGTAAACTGATTATGTGTGGTGGTGACATTAAATTGTGTGTTAATTTGATAATGAATCTTTCCCAATTCAATAAACCAGAGTTTTGTTTTTTCCTCAATTTTTAATCCTTTTTTTTTGGTATTATTATTGTCATTACAATAATCAAATGTTGGGTTAATATTAAAAATTTGTGGCAAGAAACCTTCAAAGAATGGTGTCAAAGTTGTAAAATCATTTGATTTCTTTAATAAGCTCAAATGTACCAACTCAAATGGGACGTTATTCTTACAAAATTCATTGTAAACAAATATGATCAGTTCAAGTGCACAAGTGGTCATTTTTTCTGGTGTTTTTCTTTCAGGATGTAACAACAATTCTTTGTCAATCCAAGTCTTGGATATAATTATATCATTGAAACATAATCTCGTTACAATTGAATCAGGATTGAAATTTTTTAATACCCATTTGTACAAATTGCTACTTAATTTCAATGTTCTTATATCATGTGGATGATATTTGTAGTCATAAGTACAGTAATAATCAATAATTTTTTTGTTGCTTGTCAAATTGATATTGTTGGCAAGTTTGGAAATTTTGTTTCTAGTAGTATCACCAAAATAATGGTAAACTAAAGCTCTAAGATAAACAGGTTCTAAATCATTTTCTTTAAGTTGAATCTTGAGAAAATCTAAAACTTGATTGTTTTTCGAATTCCTGTTGATTTTAATAGCTTCCACAATGCAATGTCCAACAATTTCGATTTTCGATTGGCTCCTTACTATTTGGAATGCTTCTATAAGCAAGTCTCCAAATTTGGTAAGATCTTGTTCATAGGAAAATAAAATATCTGTCATAACAGATTTTGTCAATTTGAATCCAACCTTGATAAATTGTTGTATGCGTTCAACTAAATCATTTGTAGTTGGAGGAAGAAGACAATCTTCATTTTTTGAATTTGGATATAGAATTATCAAAGAATCTTGTAACACCAAATTATTGACATCTATGCATATATCAGTGTAACCAATTTGTTTCCATAGTTCTACAATTTCTGGATAAATTAGTATTGCTTTGGCAATTGTGTTTAACTGCTCGTTATTTTCAAAACCATCCTCGGCTGGATATTTTTCACAATTTATTATTTGCATTTCTATTTGGTATTTGATCATGTGTTCAAATAAAATCGTTGGTCTTGGGGGAAAAGGTACAAATTTTTTGTTAAGTATAAGATCCTTAATTTCTTCAATGTTTTCTTTTAATTTTTCTGGTGCTAAATCTCTAGCCAATTTTCCACCTGTTAAATAACAAAACAATTCAATATCATTCCCTCTTAATGGAAGATCCGGACCATATCGTCTCTCGGCCTCAATTAACAAATGGCTGAATACATCCAATGGAATATTCGAAGCCCATGGATTTCTAAAATAATTCTGTGTAACCTTGAACACGTTATTTGCATTATTATTATTGTTATCGATGTTGTAGTTATTGTTTATAGTGATATTGATGTCATTACTGATTGTTAGTTCATATTCAATTTGACTATCATCTTTTCTCCCGAACTGTAAAAGCAACCGTTGTGTAAAATATCTAGATAAATTCACTTTTTCTTCCGTGATGAGAAAATCGACCAACTCCGTTGAGATAAAATTCTCTCCGAATCGAATTGCATGAAATAAGGCATTTGCTCTTCCGTAATTTTGAATTATCCACTTTGCTCTAATTTTTGAGTCGGTTGACATTCTGTACCATTTTTTATTGAGTAAAATTAGGGAAAGAGGCTTGGGGGTGGATGTGAAAATTTTTTCTTTTATCGTGTTGGGTAATGAAACCATGATTTGATTTTTGATTTTTTTGATTTTTTTGATTTTGATTTTTTTTTTTCGAACATCATATGTGCCTTAAAATTCTTTATTTATAGACGTTGAATTTATTATTAAATGATATTTATTGTGTAACTGGTAAAACAAACTCTCAAAATTAAATGATTGATTGAATGACTCAGATATTTCTCAATATTTTTTCTACGGATGTAATTAAACCTTTTTTTGCCAGTTATACCAGAAATTGGCCAACTATACCTCAGGCTTATCTAAAAGATAATTTTGTTGGTGGGTGTGATATTGTGTCAGTTAGGTGGATTCGCGTGATAAATGAATACTGCGTCATATTTTCCATTTCTGAAAAAAAAAAATATATCAAAATAATGTAAAAAAAATATTTGGAAGTTGGTCAATTGTAACCATTTAATAGTGACGTATCACTAATTAATTCATAAATGAATAAATTAGTTCCAAAAAAATCAATAAAATTCTTGTTCCTATTCAGTGATTATTATTCATTTCTTCATTCCACACATGCTTGATCTTTGTGCTATAATAAAACAAAAAAAATTATTCCTCGCTTAAACATATAAATAAAATAAACATGTATGAAAACGTGAATACCTTGAGTGTTAAATATTTGAACTACAACTCTGCTAAAATGGAAAATATAAAGAAATTCTTAAAAAATTTACCTGCGGCTCACTAGGTGTGCCTTTCATAAACAACACTACATCGTTGTTTATTTACAGTCTAATATTATGAAATAAACCACCTGATTAATCATTTTCAACATTTGGTTTTGTTTTGAAAAATAACTAAAATAAATAAATAATGAATACCTCGACTAAAGATTTTTCCAAGCTATCTGATAAGTATCTATATGATAAAAAAAATGATGGACTATTGAAGCTTTGATTTAAAGACCTTTGATTTGTTGTTAATGTAAAATAATATTCTTGATGAGTATTTTTATCCGAGGTATTAAAATATAAAACTACTTTGTCAATTAACGATTAATCATTTAATTTAATTAATACACACGATTACTTAATTAATCACTAAACAACCAATTAATTGAAAAGATTTGGCCAATATTAATTATTTAATTATTTACTAATCCCATGTTAGACATATTAAACATAAAAGTTGTCGAAAAAAAATTTTTTTTATGTGCATTTGTGTGACAGTGTGCGAAAAGGATTGAAAAAAAAATCTCAAGCGTTGTCATGACAAAGACTGCAAATTGGTCATAGATATATTTATTTGGGAAATTGGTTTTGATAAAAGATCAAACTTTATTATTTTCTGGTGAATCCTGTAAGATATTACATAAAGCAATATATTAGAGCAATTTCTGTTTTTATCGCTTCAATTTAAAATATCATTCTCACTATGTATGAGACGATAAACAGCCAATTTGCAAGCTTAAATTTTTAGTTTACTTAAAGTATATTAAAAAAAATTTTTACATTACAAAAATATAAAAAAAAATTTTTTTTCCATTTAATGAAGGCTTTCAAATTCATTCATTTATGATTATGATTATTGAAATTTCTAAAAATATCGTCAAATAACGCCAATAACGATAATATTGAAACTATGAATCAATAAAATAAAGACTTGGTATGATCTATCCGGTGATCATGTCGTTAATTTTATTATGTCGCGCGTATTTTCATTATTAAACAAACATATTTGGAAATTTATTTGTTGTAATTGGAATTGGTACTACAATTCGTTATTCTTTTTAGAGGGTATCATTATAAAGAATTAACAACAATAAATAACCTTAATTAAAAGACATACCAAATCTTGAATATTAATTTCTAAAATTAGACTAGTTTATTATACACTGCATATTAATGATTTTCCATACCATGTGAGTATCCCTTAAATGGGTTTTCGGCTATTGATAGCCGAAATTTTTTTTCTGTTATTATTATTATTATATATACAAGAAAATGATTAATTGCAGATCCTTTTATAATCGGCAGAAAATTTTCAAAAAATTTTGGGATAAGATAAATATAAATTTTAATATAAATTTAAAATCTTAAAAGAACCAATATTAAATTCATTCCTAATGTCAAAAACTCGTTGTATTCCTGTTACTCTTTTAAATAAAGGTGCTTTAGTAAGCGATTTACATTTTCTTGTTATTGATGGCAGCCTTCTGATAATGGAAAAGTATTCTCTATTCGTGGTTTTCTTTTTGGATCAGTAAGAAACAATCTTTAAAAAATAGGTAGGCGTCTTTGGAAATATACAACAGGTCAATAACATCAACTGCTACATCTTAAAAACAACGGCTATTATTGCTCAAGCACTAGAGAGTAAATATTTTTTTAATTTCTTCACTAGATTATTTTAAGTCTTTGAAAAAAAAATAGGTTAATGAACAAACATAAGGATCTTTTGTTTATTCATTTTAAAAAGAATTTATTAATACAGATTTCTAACATTTTATTAATGTTTGTT